GTGGGCCGCATGTTGGATTTTTCTATGACCATGAGTTTCGAATTTATGAATAAATGTCATTTATATTAGTTAATAGTTAATTTTTTTTAGTTTGTTTCTGCATGTGGCCATTCAATGAAAGAGTGGAACATTTAAAGCATTGAACGAAAGGTTGTTTAGTGGGTTGAATGCCACGACGATGTAACTTGATATTTTAGTTAGTTTATGATGCTGAAACGCATAATTGCTATTCTGTTACGTTTAAACTGACTTCGAGTGATCTGATCTGATACGCGTATACATTTATTTACTCAATAATTATTTACAAGAATGTTCATTATACTATTTTATGATGAATTAACATATACATAGGACTATGCTTTACTTGCCAAAGCTGTTGGACTTGTTTTACTCATTAGTATTTTATCATCTCATTTTACTATTCTGTTTACGTAAAATAACGGCGTTTCACTACTGCAAAACTTAAAAGTTACTATACAGTTTACGTTTAAAAATCACATTTTAGTACTTTCATTTAGTGCGCCTAAGAAATTCGCCAAATTTTAAAGGCCAAAATAGTTTGGCGCCAATTTACCCCGCTTATGGAATTTTAGCCGCAGAAGTATTAAATACATATGTGAAATTTACATAGCATAATTAGTATAAAGTAGTTGAGAAAGAAATAACTTTCATACCGTCCTAAATGCTATTTAAAGAAGGCAGTGGGTATTCGAATCCTAAAACGTTTTTATACATTAGCGCAAGAGTAGATTCGAAAATATTAGCTGGTTAAAATGGATAAAATTACGCATATTCTAAAGTTTACTTTCTAGCATATTTTAATTCATTTAATGCTTTCGTTGAATTACTCTATACAGAACTTCATTTAAAGTTTTGCTTCTTACAATCGGTTCAATCACGTTTAGAAAATAGTTTTGGGCTTCGTTATTTTTGGATTATTGCTAAATACAATAACCTAATATCATCGATAGATCAGCAATACTAAAGTTTAGAACTTTCCGTAATACAGAACTTTTACTTTCGTTTTAAGTTAAACGAAAATATTACGTTGCATGATTTGGAATTTGGCAAGTCACGTGGATGATGAATGCACTAAGGCAAAAACTAGTGGAATGTAGTATGGTAGTGTAGCATTGTATAAAGTAGTAAATTAGAGTAGTAAGTTAGCAGTAAAGTACAGAAAGTATGCTGTTGATGTTTTTATTATCAAACGAGAGCGATTTTAAAAAACAATACTATGTTGTTTACACTGACAGCGGAATGCTTTTTGCTATGGAAAAGGAATGTAAAATTTATATTTTCTACAAGCCGTAAAGGTAATATAAATAAAATAACTTTTCTTACATAGTAAAGAAATTTATTAAATTTAAAAAAATTAATAATTAAGCGTAGTTAACACTTGTTCTGTAGTTTTCAGTGCGTCTTACGGAAAATATATTATAACTAGGTCATTTTGTTGTGATAAGAAACACAAGTATTTATTTTGCATCATAACAGGCATCATCAAACATTTAAAAAACATACATGCATCTGAGTCAGCCCATACCGTTTCAAAATAATTGCAACATATATTCCTCCAAAGTTTTAGCATAGCCATGGATTGTTATGTCTATAAATGATTATAGCTATAAATCTAAAGCTTGATTTTTTTTAAATTTAAATTTTGAGAATCTTCTTTCTAGACCGTTTCGAGAAATTTCGGAATGTTCTTCGGCATGCTTGTTTGAAAGTATGCTTAGTCAAATGGATCATTTCCCTAAGGTCACATGTAGTGCGCATGCTCGACTGAGCAGCCAGAAATCAAAACTTAGAAGGAAACAATTTGGCAAAACTGTGCAGTTCTCTGAAATTTAAAACTTTTAGTTAGTACAATCATTTGTTTTGATATTTTAAAACATGCTTTAAAATGTTTCTTATGAGCTGCAGAGTACATATTCCGTATCAACTCGTATCTCTTCTTTCTGTCAGTTTGGATCCATACATTGACGGCTATTATTGTTGTACATATTCTTCCAAAAATTTAAACCTTTTTGACTATGAATTTAAAAGTCTTCACTTTTATTAGACTTTTGACTCCTCTGTCAGAAAGAAGATGTAATGTTAAGCATATGCAATGATTTGCGACATAAGGATGCTTCTGCGAAATTCTTCTGTTTTACACTTCAATAAATTATATGAAATACTTAAAATTCTATTAAAAAACAAGCTTTTATTAAATAATTTTGATTTTTTAAACTATTAAACCATACTGTTTATATGGCTTATTTTAGTTAACATGTTATTTTTAAGTTAATTCTTCTCTGTACAGTTTTTTATCCGTCTGCTGTCACCAGAATGCAAATGAGTTTAATCATCAAAGATTTGTAAAAAATATTGTGGCAGCCAGCCAGTAAAGCTGTTCAAGCTGAAACGCCCACCTAGTCAGCTTGTATATTTCGTGAGAGACACTTTGTATTTGTAAGTGTGTGTAGGGAAGAAATTCCTATCAACTGGAGCCGAGTTATTAGTAGTTGAAAGCTTGGTTACATATTGTGCTTATTTAAATATCTGAGTTACAGGAACCCACAAATAGTTATATTTGTTAATCATTAATTGCTTCTTAAGACACTATTTGTTAATCATTAATTGCTTCTTAAGAAAAGACGTCACATTATAAGTCTTTTGTTTAAGTTTTATGCCTTAACTGTATTACTGAAGTTAAGTTACATTTCTGTTTAGTGAGGAAATGGAAATTCTTCAGAGCAAGGTAAGTAATCTCAGAGTAAGAGTAACCCCAGAGTAAGATTAAACTCATGCAAATAGGTTACTTATTAAGCTTAGTCTTACAGGTTAATGAAAGTCTTCTGGATAATTTAAATTTGACTAATATATTCCAGGCATGCTGTATTATCAACTTTCGCCAGTTTCAAAACACTTAATAAAACGCTCTTGTTCTTTGCAAATGTCTTGTTACTTAAAATTATTTCCATTTTAACAGTTCGAAACTGACTAATATGCAACTACTGTGAAAATTTCAGTTACTTTTCGTATTAAGACAGTGTAGTAAATATTGTCATAGAACATTCATACAGTTGTGTCATACAGTTGGCGCTTTTTTACATTCTTCAGAACAACCGTCAATTGTGTAATAGCTGCCACGATTCGGGCTGAGTTGATTGATGAACAACAAAATGGTACATAAAACATAAAAAATGTGTAAAATTAACATTTAAATAGGACACATGATTACATAAAACTGAAAAATGACAAAAATCCTAACAAGTGGTTGTGAAAGGCCTGCTTCCATTGATACAAAAATATCACGAACATGAGAAATTCCTTCACCTGATACGAAGTCCATAGACGATATTTATTTCATTCACATTAGCTAGCTATAACTGTAACCATGATATAAAAGAGAAATCATTATTCTCTTTACTTCAAAATATCACTCACAATGCTGCTATATTATTGAATACTTTCGGAGATAGATCTTATAGAATAGTTGATAAGATATGTGTAAAATACCATTGAGGAGAACGTTACTTGGATTTGTATTTAAAAGTTTAATAAAATATTTTTTGGCACTGTACATTAGGAATTTTAAATTATTAGTCTATTACTCAATAAATAACGTGTTAAGTTAAAAAAGAAGAAGCATTACGTGTTTTAAATTCATGCACTGTAGGTATAGAAAAACACTGAATATTAGTGCGTACATAAACATATTGTCAACTATGAATTTGAATTTCCACTTTGAAGCATTTTAATTCGAAAAGTAAAATGCACATGGAATTTCAAATCAAGCGCCCAAATAAGCAAACGCTGTCCTGTTTTTTAAATAAATGTATATTTAGAACATACTTAAATCAATCTATAGAAAACTAACTTTAATAGAAAGTAACTGAATCCATAACTTAATAATTCTTAAAGCTATAGAATTTAAAACATCAACCATTCGTCCTCAATAGACTTTACAAGATCAACATTCCGTATCTTTCTTGGCACACCGGTTTCTAAAAGACAAATTGTGGAATTCAGAGTGAAATAGTTTTCTACGCATTCAATGGCATTTTTAAAGTGAATAAAACGATAAATATGAAAACTTCATTTTCCTATGTAATAAACTAGAAGACGAGAAATTAGAACCATTTCTAACGAAAGCCTCAGAAACTTACAATACTTACAATTGATACTTAAATTATACTTACAATTGATACTTAAATTATACTTACAATTGACACTTACAATTGATACTTAATAAACTTACAATTGATAGACATTCTTTTAATTTAAAAAATACACAAAACTATTTTTAATCGAAATACTTCTTCTACTGTCAATTGTATACCAGCTCTTCATACATAAAGAATAAAAGCTTAATGAGATGCAGACTATTTCATTTTTAACTCCACAATGAAATTTTTTAGTGCGTAAACTTAGTGCATGAAAATATATAAAAATTCAAAATTACTAAATTTATGTATAAATAGGAACGATATAGCGATCTCGGCAAGCTCAAGAAAGTACTTTTTTCCCAGTTAATACAATACAAAAACTTTAAACTTTCAAGATGAGATTTTTAACAAACTTATTATCTTTAAAAATTCACGATAATAACGTAATTGAAATTGCAGAGTCGTTTTAATGATCAGAATGATTAATTTCAAAATTCTGAATTTTGCTATTTAAAAATGTGCATAAACAGTTATGTTTGCTAAATATAAATATAAGGGAAAACAATTATTTTGGGTAATCACCAAGTTGTGAAAATAATTTTGCTTAAACCAAATTATGGGAAAAAGCATTATTTTTAAATGCAAAACGTGTGAAAACAGCAATCACATTGAAGGAACTTGCTTCATATTTAACAAAGAATATTTAAAGCTTCTTTTTAAAACTAATATAAAACACAGTGATTGTTAAAATTAAAAAATATATATATATATCACATTCGTTTGAAAAGAATGAATGCATTTATAGAAAAACTGTTGAATATATTTTTTCAAAAAATATACTTCGGAATTAAAAACACACTCAAAAACAGATTTTATCAAATACGGTTTTTTTTTTTTGACAAAAACTTTTTGATTGTTTTCATTTCAAATTGATATCCTTTTTGTGATATTTCATAGAAAAATGCTCTTTTAAATTTTACTTGCAGATAGCATAATCAAAAGCCAGGTTCATAAATTGGCCATTTGCATAAACATGTCCCTTGTAATGCCAAGTTATGCAAATAAATATTACCAGAGCTAACCCAATAAATATAACCTGAAAGGCCAATCTAACAACCTTTTTTTTTAATCAAGTACAAGTATAGATTAATAGCCAGCGAGATCGCATCCAAAATTCATCAACTCTTTACATCGGTCGGCAACTTATTGATTCAATCTCTAGAGTAAGCGTGATTGGAGTAAGGTCCAGAATAGATAGAAGAAGCAGAAGAGGCTCCTTTCCTCCTCCTTCTCTTATGTAGGATGCAGACGACAAGCAGCATGACGGCCATCATTAGAAGAACTCCGGCCACAGCGATACCAGCTGCGAATTTTTTCGTTGACACGCAAAAGTCGTCAGACATCGAGCTGGGGTTGGATTCCAGTGGCAGTTCTATATTAAGTAAATGAAAGGGGCCAATTAATATGTATTTTTCTCCGAAATATTATACTGTAGAACAGTAAACTGATAATATTTTTAAATTTGGGATAATCTTTGGAATATGGTAACATGTAGTTTGGCGACATTTTGGTAAGGCGATAAAGGTTACTAGCTAGGACTTTAGCAGTGTACATGGATAAAGTCAAGAGCGTGCGCAATGCCATTTTTGTGCAATTCTGGGATGTTTTTTTTAAGTGAAAATAGGTCGACGTGTACATGGATGATACCGTGTAAGTGCAATTCTTAAAAACGCGGCAAGCAGTGGGCGATTCTGCACTTTGTCCCAATTTCGCACCTAATCTTCGTCATGATTAAGTACTTTTGTTCCATAAAAGTTCTAGCATAAGCATAATTCGGCTAGCAGATTTTTGAGAAAAAATGTTGAGTTAAAAAAAAAAAAAAAAAAAAGTGCCTTCACTTCGTGAAAACAAAATGGCGTCCAAACAAAAACTACCAGGTTGCTGTAGCAGGGTTGGTCGCCAAATTTTCGCCAAAAAATCGCCAAGTTACTGTAATCCAAAGATTAACCTAAATTTGATTTCAAAATAAGACAATGAAAATAATTTTGAAAGCTGAATCATACATCACTTTCACCGAATGCCTAGCTTACAGCAATAATTTTTTTAAATCTCCATTTAGTGCGATTTTTAAGATATCAAGAATAGTTTAATGTATTTTTGACTACAGAAATAAACTTACAAAGTTATTAAGACCCACTGGTTAAGCTATTCAACACTAACAGCGTAGGCCTAATTTCGGTAGAATCGTCGAATTTTCACCCCATGTGCAAAAGGCAGTTTTCTCCTAGATTTCCGAATAGATATGACAATAGAACAGCGATTCTCAATCGGTGGTATGCAAGAGAAAAATAGCTTGTACTCAAAGTATTTTTACCTACTAAATTCAAAAATATAGCGAAGGAAAAGAACAACTGATAGTTCCCTAAAATCGAACTGACGATTTCAAAAATAGTGCACTTCGTAACTTTCGGCTGACCCGAAAAATAAAATAATTTAAAGGCATTTTCAAATAAGGCTACTAAATTTTTATTGCCTTTTTGCATAACCTATTTGTGTAAACAAGGATTTTCTTCCGTGTTGTATTTGAAAAATAAATACAGAACAAAGTTAAAAGTGGATCTTAATTTAGGGTTAAAACTAAGTGAAATAAGACCAGACGGTCATAAAGAAATTGAACTCTCGTAAACAGTCCGAAATTTCACACCAAAATTTAGAATTAAATTATTATAACTTAAATTTTGATACTAAAAATGGTAATAAATTTTTAATCTAATATTTTTTGTGTGTTCAAATTTAATATAAATAGCCAATAGTTTGTGCAAATGGCAAAAAGTATTTTTTATATTTCTATTGAGAAATTGAAAAATAATCATTGCAAAATATACTAGTGGTATTAAAGTTTTCAATTTTTGTTTAGTGGTATGCGTTAGTCAAAAGGTTGAGAATCGCTGCAATAGAACAATAATATTTCCTCCCTGAATTCGATTCTCGGCGATCAAACACACTGGTTTCAGATTTTATGTTTTACACGAACTAATTTATCTTGGAAAATTCTGCATGGAAGTATCCTTTGATGCCAATATAATCTAATTTCCTTAGAACGCTGTCTATGAAGATGTCCCTCCTAAAGTAGATACTTCAGGGTATTTTAAAGTGCTAAAGTAGCTAGTTTGAGATGATATACTACAATTATGAACGTTTACAGAAACATTGAGTAATTTTAAATGATTAAAATATTAACTGTTTGACCAACTTACGGATTAAGAACTACAAAAGGAATGGAGGATTTAATTAAGATTATGAATTTAACTGTATAACTAAAACTCCACTGTATATCTATGCTTCTTCGGTTTTTATTGTTCATTAGGTAACTTCACATCATGAACCTTTATTCTATAATTGTTATAGGCTAGGTATATTCATATTTTATAAGGCATTTATATCTATATGTATATACGAAACAGCTCAATAATTTCATAAAACCTTTTAATTATCATTTTTCTGTAATCATCTGCATATATTCACACACGTCATCGCCCTAACCCCACACAGCACAAAAACATCCTGGGATATCCTGAGGATGTTGCTCGCTGAATATGCGCACATTCTCAGGACATCCCCGGAATATCCCTCGAACCTCCTAAACACCTCTCCTGGGATATCCCGAGTGCTTAATGTCACATCCCAGTATATCCTCAGAACATCCTAACTAAGTCTCATCGACAGCGTACGGGATCTTATTAGGATATGAACTCCTACTTACTACATCCTAAGGACATCCCGGGATATCCCACTAACCTCCTAAACGCATCTCATTATACCATAAGAACATCCTATATATGTTCCATCGACAGCGTATGGGATGTTGTTAGGATTTAAAGGCCTACTTATTACATCCTCAGGACATCCCGTAATATCTCAGTTTCCTCCTAAACTCATCCTCCTGAATGCTTAATGTCACATCCCAGTATATCCTTAGGACATCCTATCTAGGTCCCACCAACAGAGTGTGGGATGTTATCAGGATTTGAAATACTAGTTACAATATCCCTTTAACCTCTTAAATACATGCTCTCAACTGCTTAATGTCACATCCCAGTATGTAAAGAGGAAACTTCCAGTGAAAGTATGTGAAGGTGTTATGATGATCTAAAACGTACTCATTTTACACTCCTATGGTTACTATATGGAAAAATTAGAAATGTTGAGAATATTTATACAACTTATATATACAGCATATATTTACACACGTCAGCGCCCTACTGCGCCTAGTATACTTATAGGAATGAGATATCCCGATCACTGCTTGTTCACTTGCCATCTGACAGCTGAAAATTAGCTTAAATAACGAGCTATTGATGTCATGGCGTTCAAAAGATAGCGCAACTAAGAAATGCCAGTTCTATTTAAGCCATGGCATCTCTACCTAAAAATTTCAGACGTGATAGATGAGATAACAAATTGCATTACGAACAGAGGTTAAATTTCTTAACCTTAGTGTGACTCTCCAACAAATTTGCCTTTGCCCATATGCACCGTAAAACTCAATTATAATGAATTCAGATTTAACGAGAACCCGGATTTAAAGAGGAAATCGAAAATACTTGTTTGGTACAATATTAAATCTATGGGACCATAACTCGCTGTTAAGGAGTAAACTCCGGTTATAAGAGAACAATATTTTTGTGATTCATAAAATTTCTATTAATTTTCACTTCTCCAGCTCAGCTAACGCTTTCTCGGATAAATTCTTTAACACTCCGAATTCAACCGAAAGTTAGTGATGAGTTATAAGTCCTGACGGTGACGGTGGGCTATTTTATTTTGGGAAGTGATCAGGATTGAACTTTTACTACCGAATTCTACAAGTGTTATCCAGCCTATGGACCAAAGGATTATCAGAACTTTTAAATCAACTGGTTTTGATACTTCTCGTTAAAAGAGTAAAAATCTCAAATGCTAATGTAAACGTACTTGAAGCGATACGTTTAATGATCGATGCATGGGAAAATGTTACATCAACGTACATTGCAAGTTGCTGGATTGGACATTTCTCAAGAGAGGCACAGTAGACGTCTTATAAAATTTGGAAAGGAATTATGTATCTGTTGATGCCAATGTTATCACTTCCGAGATACCTACTCTCGAGGATTTTGTTGCTGAAATTCAAGCAGGTGAAAAAATAATGAAAACGACGATGATAAAGACGAATATGAAGAATTCCAAGCTGAACTGCCTCCAACATACTAAACGGCTTTTGAGTGCGCATAAAAACATTTTTCAAAGCCAGGGGTGCAAATGACGATGTTTTTTGGGGCCATGAGTCCTTTTTGAAGAACAATAACACAAGGAAAATACAAAAGGCAGTTTAACGCAAATTAACCAACTTCTTTTGCTCTGTACAGAAATAAAAGGTAAATAAAGTTTATATAACATAGCAAAGTATATATGAATTTAAAAGCGATGTTTTTACGAGTACTCGATTATAACGAGAAAATATTGCGGTCCCTTCACGGTCGTTATAAGCGAGTTCAACTGTATGTATTGGTCCATCAAAAGTCAACGATATTCGCAGAATTAATTTCTAACCACCATTTTCCAGATTAGCTAATTATATATGCCCTTTATTACTCTTTAATAAAATATTGCAGTAGCTTCTAAAACTCAAACAAATTAATATTACATCAATATGGCATACTGCTAACCACTTTTACACTTAAATTCCTGCTAAATAATACGCGAACGGATATTATATCTGATTAAAAGGTATAAAGCAGTAATTATCCGTAATCACAATCAAATATCATTTCTCGTGATTTCCAAATCTTTTAAGTAAGAGAAAAATCTTTCTGCTCTGTATATTTTTATCGCACTGCTTTAAATTCAATGATTATTTAGTTACTCTGACAAACTATTCGATCATCTCTCTTCATTCAAATTCATATAATTCGCCAATTACTGAATATTTTCTCTCCAATAACGCAAACGTATTGCTGCAGAAAAGGCTGTATTTCTCTGATTAAGAGAAATAAATTCTTTAATCATCTTTGTTCCCAGTAATTCGAAAGAGTGAATTTTTCTGGTAATAACTTAGGAGCTCTTCTTAACTGGCAGTACCCACCCATTCTCTGGCTTTCTTTTCTATTTCCATAAAAAGGGGGGATTGATGCTTGATGCATGGTGAAAGACAAATACCATCTTCGTATATTTCGAAATTTATCAAGCAGTTAAACTGGACTCCATACAAAGGATAAATTTATTAAATTTCAATGTGGTATGCATGGCTTGCACCAACTGCGATTTAAAAAGTTACATGCTATTCAATATAGTAACGATTCTTTTTAATGTGCAGCGATTCGTCTTGAAATATTCATTAGAGATGAAAAGTGTAATTGAAAAGACTGTCAGTGCAATTGATGGACAGATCAAAACGGATTGAAAAATTACCATTCGATTCTTGTTCGTCCACTTCGCTGACGTAAAGCCCAGAATAAACCTCAATACTTCTATCTCTGAGGTGAGCGTCCAGTCCACGAAGGGCTTGGAGGTTACCTTTTTCTTGCAATTCGCTGCTGCGACGCTTCCTGCGGCGGATGTTGTACCCGCTCTCGTCACAGATGGGAGGCTAGAACCAAAAAGAATTGAGGATTAAAGGGAAATCTAGAAGAAAACGATATTTTATCATTCATGTTTATGAAAAAAAATTATTTATGAATAAGCGCAATTATTTACGAATAATTACAGAGTCTGCTAGCTTTGGATTAAATTTTATTTGAAATTGAAATCTATTCGTATATATCTGATATCATAACACGCATCTACAACTTTCATGCCATTTAGGGTTTCTAAAACGTTCTAAATTATAATCAGGCTTATAATGTCTAACTCTTCTCCTAATTATATATATTTAGACGGAATTAGCTGAAACTTTCTTGAGAATTTCTATGCCATTTCGGATCTTGATTTTATATGCATGTGTATATGTCATGTGTTTAGAATTGTATGTAATATAAGTCCTAAATTTTAGTCACTTTTAAATATTTGAAGATTTATAATAATATTGAAGTTCTTCCTTTTTGAACTTTTTTAAACTCAAAAGGAAATAATCGTGTTTGAGCCTGAAATGCCGTTCTTTGTTTAGTTAGTATGATTATTTACATCTTATAAAAGATCGACCAAAAAAGTGATGCTCATTGCAAATGGAAAGTTAGACAGCTTCGAACAAAGTTTCAAAGCTTATATTCAAGAGAATTTGAGAATTTAAATGAAAACCTTGCAATAATAAGCTGAAATGAATCGATACTTATATAACAACCAATTTGATTTTTAATCACGCTTGCAAACATTGTTGCTAATGTGGGCTCGATTGAGAATAATAGCTAATTATGCGATGAATGATGATTGTTAATAATATCAATGATGAAAATAAAAACTGAGAATGAGATTATCGTTTATAATAGTAATTGAGCTGAAAATTAATGTTTATGTTGATAGATTTGGGTTAATATGACTGAACTTGTAAGGGAATCTTCCCTTATGGACAGATCTAACTGAAAAGAAACTCAAAGGAAATTTAGGAAACCAAGAGTCGTTAACCGTATGTCAAACATAATTATTTTCCTTTTTTTTACTATGAATAACTACTGTTCCTTATTATAAAATATCAATTCTTTTGTATTTGACATTATACGTTAAACAGTGCGGACAAGCGAAGATACAAATTTATCAATAATTTAAGTCTGTTTGAAAGCAAACATAAAGCTTACAAATTTGCATAAACAATCTCTTATACAGCGTGATTTGTAGCAGGTACAAATTTCAGGGAGTGGTGGATTACACAAAGACGATTCGAATTATATACAAATGGTAGGAGTGAAAACGCAATCCGCATGTGCTAGTGTGTACAGAAGAAAACACATTAAAAGAAGAAAACACGTGAAATGATAGAGAGAGTGATGTGAGTAGTGAATAATAATATTTTAATCAGGACAGGACAGGAACAAGTGTTTAGGGCATCATCCCATCGCCGTAGGCAAAATTGGTATAGCTCTAGCAGACTGATTATCTAGAGCAACTCCTGAGTCAGGACTTATTGAAATTTTTAAAAAGAAAAAGAAGGAGAAGCTACAGTGCTTTCTACATACTTCCTTAAACATGCTTCAAGAGTTTAGCATCGGTTTACACTTTGCTAATAACATATATGGAGTTTTACCAAAATTTTTGCAGTATGACTTAGAGGTTCAGATTATTGCTGCTACAGATGATGTTGGTTACAGAAGTGTTAAGAATGACACAACTCAAGACCTAGGTGTTGGAGCGCTTCCTTGATGATTTTAATGAGCTGGCGAATCTTTTGTTGCGCGATTCTCTTAAATTCAGTGCCAAAGTCTGTGGGATGTATACCATGGTTATTCTTTGTTAGAGCGCACTAGAACATATCAGCAAATTGTTGCAGTTACGATATTCAGAGGTCACAGTAAGTATTTGAAGTTACAGCTACAATACAAGCGTGACACCAGCGCAGCACAGAAGCATGGGCCTTTTGGAATACACTGGTAGTCCGCACTAGCTAAGCTAACGTGCGACAAGATCCTCCTCACTGATTACAGGTGTTTCGTATACCAGGGTTTTCATGTAACCCCAGTGAAAAAACTCCAGACATGAAAGATTCGGTGAGCATGCAGGCTAATTAATAGGTCCATTGCGACAAATCACCTTTGGCCAAATGTTGAATTCAAATATTGGCCAACGAAAATAATAAAATGGTCTGCTGCACCATCATGCCGGAACCATGTATCATTGCGCCGCGGCTGCCGGATGCTTTGCTCGTCCAACAGTTCGGACAAGACTTCCTCCAAGAAATATCCTATAAGATCTTCCGTTCAGACGAACATGCATGAAATACGAGCCTATGAGGTGGCAGCCAACAGCGCCCGCGCAAACATTGACGGAAAACCGATGTTATGCTGCACGTCCTTTGGAACTCCTGGGTACTCCACTGCCCATATATGTATGTTATGTACATTTTAGCAGCCTTCTCTTCTAAAGTATGCCTTGTCGGTGAACAGGATAGGAGTCGGAAAATGGGGTTTCGAGGCACACTTCTGCTTGTACCGTTCAGCAAATGCGATTCGCGGTGCGTAATCTGTAGTAAGCAGTTGGTGTATGGGCTACTTATCGTATGGATATAACTAGTTCAAGTGCAGGATTCGCTAGACGAAGGTTTGGGAAACATCAAGGTTTATAGTGATCTCTCGTGTGCTGATAAGTGGATTCCTTTCTGCGTAGTCGCGCACCATCTCTTCTTCAGGCGCCCATGTCGTTCGTTCCCGATTCCTTTTGTCTTGAAAAATCCCGTATCACATGATCTTTGAGCCGTACAAACATTTGGTGATTAGCAACCCGCCTACTCTATACCGCTCACCGTACTAGCGCACAGCGGCTAGCCCATATGCTAGATGCAAATATGCTAACTCGAAATGACTGAAACTTTCCATTCTACTTCCTCTGCATTTGATTGTTCAATGCCGAATTCTGCTTGCGGAGGTTTTATCTTTTCCACAATACCGCGCTTTGCATTGCAATGTATTTCTGAATCGTCTTTGAGTAACTCCCTGAAATTTGTAGACGCTTGAACGAATCCCGTGTATACTACTCGTATATTACTCTGCTACCTAATCAGAGAAACTCTGTTGAGGATAAATTAAATATGGACAACTTCATATGATACGAGATTTCTACACCATTATCTTGCTCTAATACGATTAAAGAAATCTGAAAACTGTCATAAATAAACTAAGATTTCGTTGTAAAATGATAAAGACTCATCGTAACAGAGTTCGAAAAACTGGAGAGCTGTAAAAATGCCTAATTTTGCAAATGTACTGTCATTTTTCCAAAATGCAAGTGGGAAAATTCTCTAACCATGTTGCAAAAATGTTGACAGCTTCCTGAGATTGGACTGAAAAATTCGGAAAACCCCCATATGACATGTTATTCTGTGATGCAGTTTCGTTCCAACTCGGTTAGAGAAGTACGATAAATTCTCATATAACATGACATAATAATTTATGTTAAATAATGCTTTTGTACAAATTATTTTTGAGTTTTCAATAAGCAACAGTTAAGTTTTATTTCTGCCAATGTCTTTTAATTTTGATCAGCAAGTACAAATTTGTAGCAATGTTCGACACTAGAGTCTTTCAACTTGTTAAATCACCGGTAACAAATGACTTTATCTGTCACCTTGTAGAGACTTCGGTGCAGACAGCATGAAACATTAACCGTGCTTTTGATGGGATTCAACCACAAATCTTCTAATTTACACACGTTACCAATTAACACGTTAACCAATTAACACCACAGAAATACATAGTGTTACGAAATGTACAGGCAAGGTAAGATAGCTTCCCCGCAAAGCAGTTTTAGGGTTGTCATAAAATGGCAAGGGAAGGCAGGGTTGCCTCATTTGGTGAAAAATTGCCCATTTGGCGACAAAACTGGCGATATACCATGGACGGATGGAGAACCTTCTGGAACGAATTCTTACCGATTTAGCCCAGAATGTTCTCGAACACAAGCCGAAAGCTATATAAACCCTGCTGGTCCGCAGTCAGTTAATATGTGCCTCGTCTAGCGAGCTGATAGTCAGTCATTGAGCGAGTGCCTCAGTCTAGCGCCGAGTTGGTAGTCGAGTGCATCGAAGAGTCTCTTAGTGTATCGCGGTTAGTACATCGTCGAGACAGTGTGTTAAGCTCCGGGAATGACTGAATCGAAGAGTCAGGAGCTGTGCTCTGTGTGTCGAGTTGTAGCGTAGAGAGTCTCGAGAGTACGTGGAGTTCCGAGAACAACCAAGCAGAGTCGGGAGCTGTACTCTGGTGCTTTGCAGTGAAGCTGTCTCCATCGTGATAGCTTGATAACCCGAAAGCTGTATCGCTGATCGTGTCAGCGGGTTTATAACAGTTCGGCGACTGTAAACGAGATTTTGGAGTTGTCCTGATTAAGACCGGCCAATAAAGTGTGTTTCGATACTTCACAAGTGTCGTCCTTATTCACTCCAAATCCACACGAACCTCGTACGAACGTGAAGGAAGAAAATGACGTAACAACTGGTGTCAGAAAAGAAAAACGCATCAGTATGAAAGAATGAGATTATTGCTTATAACCTTCAGATCATTTTTTTTTTCAATAATCTATCTAACTGGTATAATTTTATACGCATTTTTTATTTGAAAACTTACAGACTCCCCGTGCATCACAGATGTACAGCACGGGGCTTACAGAAGTAAGTTTGTAGAGACAAAAGGATTTTTCGAAGTAAGAGAGATTCCATAACCACTAATAATACGAAGAATTCTACGTCGAATCCTTCTCAAATTTCTTTTATTAACCGTCTTTGCAAGAACATGTCTCCAAACACGACAGCCGTAGGAAATAAAAGGTACAATACACTGCTTATACAGCAGTTTCTTGACATCGTAGCTTACTCCAAAAGTATTTTTGGCAATTCGGTGAAAGCCATTAGTAAATTTTTCACATTTAGCAGAAAGGGATTCAATGTGCGTTTTCTATGTTAATTTTTGATCAAGAATGACACCAAGATACTTACTATTACCTACAAATTCC